TTCATACATTAGAGATCACGCTAATCCAGTCCCTTTGTCATGCCAGTCGGGAGGACGTATGGAGTGGCTGGTATGATAAACTTGTTTCTCAAATATCTCCAGGTGTCCCCTCTGTCGCCTCGTTAAAAACCTCCCCGAGAAAACCCAATTGGGACAAAACCCGGGTGAGGGAAAAAGAGTGCGACTCGGGAGACGCCTTTCAGAAATGGAAATACTTGAGGTGGGCGATGTTCCAATTGTTTTGGAGCGTTTTTCCTTCCATTGTTTCTAATTGAAATGCTCCTTTACTTGCTGCCGCTGTGATTTTGTAGGGTCCGTCCCAGTTGTTGCCCAGTTTTCCTTCGGTTGGGTCCTTTGATGCCAATGTTTTGGCTCTGAGGACGTAGTCCCCCACTTTGAGTGGTCTTATTTTGGCTCTCTTGTTGTAGTATCTTTCGACTTGTTGTTTCTGAGCCACCATTCTTATGTGGGCCATTTCTCTTCTTTCCTCTGCCTCGTCGAGGTCTTGAAGTCTGTTTACGTCGTTCTCAGCTCCGCTGGTATGTGAATACCTTAAGCTTGGTTCGCCGACTTCGACCGGTATGATCGCGTCGGTTCCGTAGACCAGTGAGTACGGCGTTTCCCCTGTGGAGGATTTAGGCGTGGTTCGGTATGCCCATAACACTTTCGGTAGTAGCTCGGGCCATAGCCCTTTGGCTTCCTCGAGTTTCTTCTTTAGTATGTTCAGTATTGTTTTATTGGAAGACTCTGCTTGGTCGTTGGCGGCGGGGTGATATGGCGTGGATAGTATCCGCTTGATACGCCATTTGTCGAAGAATTCTGTTGTCTTCTGGCCGATGAATTGCCGTCCGTTGTCGCAGCTGATTTCCTTGGGGATGCCGAAACGGCAGATGATATTCTTCCATATGAAGGCGATGACTTCTTGTTCGCGTATTTGGGAGTACGCTCCTGCTTCCACCCACTTGGAAAAATAGTCAGTTAAAACTAACAGAAATCGTACCTTTCCTCGTCCCGCTGGTAGGGGACCGACTATGTCCATTCCCCATTTGATGAAGGGCCATAGGGAAGTGACCGAGTGAAGTGGTTCTCCTGGTTGGTGTATCATGGGGGCATACTTCTAGCATTGTTCGCATCGACGAACATATTCCGCTGCGTCTTTCTTCATAGTGGGCCAATAATAGCCAGCTCGTATTATGCAGCGCACGAGGGCGCGGTTACCTGTATGGGCACCATAATGACCTTCGTGTACTTCTTCGAGCACTGGTCGCGTTTGTTGCGGCCCTAGACATTTGGCTAGGGGTCTGCCAAACGTCTTTTTGTAGAGCTCTTGGTTTATCAGGCAATACCGGGCTGCCTGTACGCGGAGCTTCTTGGCTTCTTTTTTGTCGAGTGGGACTGTTCCATCCTGCATATAGGATACAAACTGGTTGCGCCAGTCCCAAGTCAAGTTTAAAGAGAGTACCTCAGTGTGATCAATGGCTGAATGGAGGAGGGTGACCACGCTTTCTTTGTTGAAGTTCTTAGTGGCTGCGGCTAGTTTCGCTAGGCCGTCTGCTTAAACGTTCCGTGCTCTCGGAACTTGTTCGAGGCGGCACTCGCCGAACTCGGTTATTAACCTGTGAATTTCTGACCGGTATTTTTGTAACCTCTGCTCCTTGATTTGGTAAGTCCCGGTGACCTGGTTCACCACGAGTTGAGATGTCCGTTAATGAATAGTCGGGCTACTTCATCTCTTAATTACCGGCAATCCTCTGTTTTGTGGCTGTGAGTGCCATAATATTTGCACATTAGATTAGGATCCCTTTGGGTTGGATCGGTCCGTAGAGGTCGAGGCTATTTGGTGTCTTTGATGCATCCAATGGCAGATACGATGGCGGCGGCGACGACGTTAAAGTTGTACTCCGAAAGCCTTGCTACTTCCTTAAGCCCGATGGGCCTGTCAAAACTATTTTTGCTCATGAGTCCCAGTTGTCCTGACCTCGATCACTCCTCCTTTCATTTCTCACGGGGTTTCACCTAGATTCGTACCTCTTCGGTCCCTGTTGTATGGTTGGTGACGATCCCTGCTTGATCTCGGTTCACAATCAATGTTTATCTTGACTCTATCGACGGCTCTAACAGGATAAACGGACCCGGAAGGGGCCCTAAGTTGATCATCTTCAACCCTAATTTTTGATTGATACCGGTTATGTACGTCGGCCCAAGTAACAGCCGGATATTCTACCAGATTTTGTTTCAACTGTTGTGAAACCAACGAGCTTCGAACATTGAGTCCCTGGGTGAAGGCTTGAACGACCCAATCGTCCGCGGCTGGAGGCAAGTCCCTCTATTTTACGAAAAGTTCTGACTTCTTGGTACCTACCTTGATAGCCCGGCTTGTGGTTTCATGAAGGAATCTGCAAGCATAGCAAAAGAGTCAATAGAATTTGGAGGTAGGTTGTGATACCATATCATAGCTCCCTTTGACAGAGTTTTCCCGAACTTTTTCAGCAGGACAGACTCGATCTCGTCATTCCCTTTGATGGCGCAAGTGTAGGAGGTCACATGGTTATTTGGGTATGTTGTTCCGTTGTACTTAGGAATCTCGGGCATGCGAAACTTCTTAGAGATAGGCTTCGGAGCTGCGCTCCGAAGGAAAGGTTTTTGAACAAATGTCTTGGAATCCAGGCCTTTTAATATCGTTGGTGCTCTTGGTAATTGATCGATCCCTGAATTGTAGGTTTCTACTCTTTAGTCATTGGCTTTGATTTTCTTCTCTCCCGATTCTACCCGTTTTGTAAGCTCCTCGAGCATTTTTATGATCTCGCGGTTGGTCCCGGATTCACTTTCATTTGGTCTCTCCGTGATCGGTTCATTTCTGTAGGTGACTTCCCGGGACGGCTCAGGCTCAATCCTGCTCGGGGCGCGGCTTTGGTTCTGGAGTTGTGCTATTGCCTCCTATTGAGCTTGTAACATTTCAAAGATCACCCTCAAGTTGATTCCATCACGTTTAGAGGGGCAGCTTGGGAGTTCGACATTTCAAATTTTAACCTGAAATCAAAGATACTCCAAAGAACAAGTGTAAAACAAGGTGTGTTATAGAAGTTTTGTATCAAATAGCCACTATTATCCTTAGTCCTACGATGGGTGCCAAACTATTTACCCTCAAAATCGGATAACAATTGAATTTGTAAGTGGTTTTAAGGATACGCAGATTAATTTGACACAAAGCAATAAATTGGATTAGATAGTTTTAGCCTTGGTGTAATATTAACCCTCGATCCGGGCTCACTATACCCAGCACTGATGAACAAGAGGAAAAAGCTAAATAACAGAGAAAATAATAATATAATGCTTTGAAATGCCTGATACAATGTGTTTCATGAATTATCAGACCCCCTTTATATAGTAGGGGAGTTCTACCTTAGGTACAACTCTATAAAAGGTAAAAAATCTTCTGATTAACTGATTGTCGGCTCCTTATCGATACGTGCCGAGATCTCTGCCGTGATATTCGGCCGGTCACAGATATTTTGGCCTTCCGCTGGCTGTGCTTGATCGTCCGATAATGTTCCTCGAAGTCGTTCGAGGTCAAGACCAATCCGGAACTACGACCCCGATATACTAGGGGGCAGGCGTCGTGCCCTCGGATTCCGATTCATCGAGACTTTCGCCTCGATGTCGGCCCCTTGTCATCATGTCTCGAGCCTGGCTTATCTTGCCGGAGGTCGGGTGCACCATGAGCTTGATTTTACCTGTCATATTTATAGCTAAACAAATGAGACAAAAGAGTCATGAATGTAGTGTAAGTTTTATCCGCATCCTTAAAATTCTGAATCCGGATGCGTCAATACTTAGCCATATAAAGTCTGATAAATTCCCAACCTCAAAATAGAAATAAAAATAAAAAATGGGAAATAACGTGGGTGCTACCTATTACTATCCTCTCCAATGACTCCATTCCATTAATACTAATAACATGAGTAATAATAGCAATAAACAAACTTTACAAATTCCCAAATGCATAATTCCAAGGTTCCACTTCATCATTCAAGCCAATGCCTCTTTTTCTCTCTTCTCCTTTCCCTTCACTACATTTCCTCCAAACCCAACCCTGCCCGACCCCTTTACCATCGGGCCGGTCCGGTCTGAAATCGGTCAGGGCCGATTCGAAATCGGGTCAGCCCGGCTCATTTGACAGGTTTAGTCAGACCTGTCTATAACAACATTTTTATATAACAATCATTTACTATAAAAATTAAGTTTTACTCATAACTGATTTTTTAAGTTATATTTTATGTCTCTATAATAGCTTTTTATCTAAAACAACAACAACAACATATTTATAGCAGAACACTCTTTGTACAATTACCCCTCTTTAACAGCCGTATAGAATATTTAAGACTAATAAAAATCGTGAAAATATGCACACAATCTTTGTTCATTGAACAAAGTTTATATCTTGCATAAGACATAAGATTTAAAAGTTCTTCGGTCAATCTTGAAAGAATTTATTTTTTCAAGTAGCTTTAAAATATGTGCCTTAGAATTTAAATCTTTCTATGTTTAATTATAAATTTATTAATACTGTATTAACTTTCTTCAATATTTAACTAGAGAAATATGCATATATTTTGAGATTTTAAATTGAATAATTTTCTTATCTTTTATATGTAATACTAAAAAAGGAAAAATAATTGATTTTGGATAATTTTTATCTATAGCAATCAAAAATATTTAAACACCAAATATTGTTATAAGTGTATAGTAACTATTTATAAAAGCGAAAAAATATTAACATAAACGAAATTGTTATAGAGAGGATTGGTTACTCATGATCATCTAATATGTGCACCGGCACAAATACTAAGATATTATTTATAACCAAACAAATGAGACAAAAGAGTCATCCTTAAAATTCTAAATTCGGGTATGTTAACACTTTAGACATATAAAGTGTTATTCTCACTCCGAAACAGAAATAAAAACAGAAAGTGCGAAATAACGTGGGACATATATATTACATCCTCTCCGAAGACTCCACTCCATTAATACTAACATTGAGTAATAATAGCAATAAATAAACTTTACAAATTCCCAAATGCATAATTCCAAGGTTCCACTTCATCATTCGAGTCAATGCCTCTGTTTTCCTTTTCTCACATTTCCTCTTACCCATTTCTCATGTAATAAAAATCCTCAAACACACTAGTTGAAATCTCAAGATGACTCTTTTCAGATTGTTTATGTTGATTTTATTATTTCTTGTATTTCAACCCCTTCATTCAGCTGTAGCTGAAGATGATATAAAGTGCTTACAAGGAGTTAAGAATTCCTTAACAGATCCAAAAGGCAACTTAAAATCATGGAATTTCGCAAATTCCACAGTGGGGTTTATCTGCAAATTTGTTGGTGCTTCTTGTTGGAACGACCGTGAAAATCGACTCATAACCCTCCAACTTCGTGATATGAACCTCGGAGGTAGTAAAATCCCAGATTCTTTACAGTATTGTAAAAGCTTACAAAATCTTGATCTTTCTGGTAATAGACTTTCTGGTTCAATTCCTTCTGATATTTGTACTTGGCTGCCCTTTTTAGTAACTCTTGATTTGTCAAACAATGAATTTACTGGTTCTATTCCAGCTGATCTTGTTAGTTGTTCATACTTGAATAAATTGATGATTAATGATAATAAGCTTAGTGGGAATATACCACCCCAGTTTTCTAGTTTAAGTAGGCTTAAGACATTTTCTGTAGCAAACAATGATCTTTCTGGTAGGATTCCAGCAGCTTTCAATTCAGCTAATTCGTTTGATTTCGGAGGTAATGATGGACTTTGTGGTGGACCTTTAGGGAAATGTGGCGGATTAAGTAAGAAAAATTTAGCTATTATTATTGTTGCCGGTGTTTTTGGAGCTGCTGCATCTATGTTGTTGGGTTTTGGGGGTTGGTATTGGTATTTTACGAAGGCGGGGAAGAGGAGGAGGAAGACGGGTTATGGGTTAGGGAGAGATGATTCGGATGGGTGGGCTGAGAAGTTGAGGGGTCATAGGCTCACTCAGGTTATGTTGTTTCAGAAACCTCTTGTGAAGGTTAAGTTAGCGGACTTGTTGGCTGCCACAAATAATTTTAGTATGAAAAGTGTGATAAACTCGACTAGGACAGGGACTACATTTAGAGCTGTTTTACGTGATAGTTCTGCACTTGCTATTAAACGGCTTAAGACTTGCAAGCTGAGCGAGAAGCAGTTTCGGATGGAGATGAATAGGTTAGGACAGGTTAGGCATCCTAATTTGGTGCCACTTTTGGGGTTTTGTGTTGTTGAAGAGGAAAAACTCTTGGTTTATAAGCACCTTTCAAATGGTACTTTGTATTCATTCTTGAATGGGAACGCAAGTGTGTTGGATTGGCCGACTAGGTTTAGGATTGGTTTGGGAGCTGCGAGAGGCCTTGCTTGGCTACATCATGGTTGCAACCCTCCAATCTTGCACCAAAAGATATGTTCTAACGTTATTTTTCTTGACGAAGATTTTGATGCTAGAATAATGGATTTTGGATTGGCGAGGCTGATGACACCTTCAGATGCAAAAGAGACTAGTTTTATGAATGTAGAGTTGGGTGAATTTGGCTATGTTGCTCCGGAATATTCAAGTACAATGGTGGCTTCGCTGAAAGGGGATGCCTACAGCTTTGGAGTTGTGCTTTTGGAGTTGGCTACGGGGCAAAGACCTCTAGAAATCACTGCTGCTGATGAAGGTTTTAAGGGAAATTTGGTCGACTGGGTAAATCAGCTCTCTGTTTCTGATCGGATTAAAGATGCAATTGATAAGCACATATGTGGGAAAGGCCATGATGAAGAGATTGCGCAATTCCTAAAAATTGCTGGCAATTGTGTAATTTCTCGGCCCAAAGAGAGGTGGTCTATGTATCAAGTTTATGAATCGCTAAAGACCATGGCTGAGGAACGAGGTTTCTCTGAACAGTTTGACGAATTTCCTTTACTATTTAACAAACAAGATATCAGCAGTTCCATTTGATGCATGAATAGAAAAGCATTACGAAATGTTTCACATCTGGTGAACACAACTATATCCTACGGTAAGTTCTTCACTTCCCTTAGGTGCAAGTGGAATCAGGAACGATACATATGGTTCTGTAAAGGACTACCACGAATATTGCTGTATTATACTGTGAAATGACAAATTATTTTGTAAGTCTTCTGCTTGAAATTTATTGTAGAGATAGCAAGTGTTATTGGTTTCTTATGTTCTGTCTTCCCTTAGCTGATAGTTATGCATTAACAAGACACTGAGCAAAACCTGTCACATAGTTGCTCGAAATCTGTAATACAACTAACTTAGATTTTTGCAACTGACTTGGGCATTGGCCTTTTAAGGTCAGAGCATTCCCCTTTGTTCTTCATATATTCAGCAGGTCCCTTGCAATCGTTTATCGTTTGTATATCAAATTATAGAATATCTAAATTCCTTTTTCAGATGTGAATCTTAAGCCAAACAAGAGTAAAGATTATGCTGCCTTAGCTTCAAAATTTGTCGATGATTGCTCTAGGTTGACGCTATTTGATAATTTCTGCATGTTTGTTTTTTGGAGGTTTGATGAAAAGAGGATTCTTCTTTTCCCCTTTAGTAAGCGAAAAAGCATAAGATTCTGACAGAAATGTGAAAGTAAGGAAAGTGATGCAATGCCTATACAGGCCATGTATATTCCAGAATGGATTGGTTTGGTAAAATATCTGCCTTTACATTGATATTAATTTATCCAATGGGGATGCAACCTAGGCAAGGTTATTGGCAATTAACCCTTCTGATTAGTCTTGGATGACATTGTTGATTAGTATCTTTAGTTCCTAATGCGGATGTTATGTTTCTGATCCGAAATGATTTTGGATAAACTGGAAATCAATTGGGCGTTTCAAAGGCTATTTGCCCTCTTGAATTTGATTTGGTAGCTGAAATTTTCATTCACTTGATTGTAATTTGCTTCTCTACAAACAGATGGTGCTTAGTACTCAAGATGTGTAATGCACAATGAGAGTTTCCAAGCAAAAAAAATCTTGTTGATTGGCGAAACTCTTTGCAATAGTAGTTGTCAAGCAGCGGCGAAGCTACATTATCCGAAAGATGGTCAATTGACCACCCTTCGTCGAAAAATTACACTGTATATATAGATAATATATTTGGTTTTAGAGGTGTATAACATATACTGAACACCCTTTTGGGGGAATTTTTTTCACTTCTTTCAAGTTTGAACGCCCTTGCGGAAATTTCTGGTTTCGCCACTGTTGTCAAGCCTCTTACTTTGCCCCTAAGCTCAAGCACGAATGCGTGTTTCCATGTACTTTCCAGCTTCCCTGAAAACCATTTATAAATATGGAGTATAAAAACCATTTATAACTTGTTACCTATAGAAGTATATGCGTATTCAAGACTCTTGCTCATGAGTATTGAAGTTGGAATGTTAAACATAAAAATACCTGTTGTGTATGGGATCAGCTTCGCTCCATACTCTTCTTTTGCTGACATAATTGAGATTGGTATTCCTTCGAAGAAAATGCCTTTCAGTTTCTGTTGTTGTCCTCCCAACATCTAAATGATTGCTTGTTGTCCCTGTAACTGCTTTGGTGACAGTTTTGGCTCTTTGTTTCACTAAAATCTCAGCAGATACAGAACATAGAAAACTAAGTAAAAGAACAGCTCTCAAGAAACCCTTCAAAAAACTGCTGGTTGCACCATCACCACCCATAACTCTGCAACTCCTACTTCGCACTCTGATCTTGAATGCCCATTTGTGGATCAGCTGAACAAGGATAGTGGATTGTTTCTCTGGTATTATGTAAACAGAAACTACAAATAGTATGCAATTGTATTCTGTTGTTGGAATGCGCTTTCATGGAGTACTATAGTTTGCCATAAGATTAATATATATAGCATGGAAAAGTTAAAGTTCGTTATGTCGAAAAGCAACAAAAGGTTGGGGACAGTTGAAGATGTGGGGTAAAAGGGGAGAGAAGCATTGGGATAGGTTCCGTTGAGAACAGTCTATAAGAAAGTAAAGATGTCCAATTATTTTTCATATTGATTTTTTTTCCGACAACTCTTTCCTTATATTCGTCAATGCATAGAGGCAGATTTAAAATTTAAACTTGATAAATTTGACCTATATGTATTGCCTATTTAATATTTATTGAAATTTAATAATTTTTATACAAAAATATATACGTTATATGGAAAATATCGGGTGCAGCGTTCATGCAACACAGCCAAGGCTGAATACTGTTGAATCCAGAGGCGACTGAAAATATATGTGTGCGCGCGTGCGTAATGGTACAACAGTTTCAACAAATATAAAAATTCAATTTTAAATGTATTTGGTTGAACTTAAAAGCTTGAACTCATCGAGTTCAATTTCTAGATTCGTCTACTAGATTAAAAATCATCCACATCCCCGTCAGAGCAAATCGAAGAGAAAAATCTTTATTTCCAGAATTAATTTGATCATTAATAGTCTTGAATATATACTTGTATTTGAAGTCACGTATCTGTAAAGGAAGTGCCTGCAAAAGGAATAAACACATCATCCACTCCTTAGTCCGTCTATTTACGAAATAATGTCCATTTTACTCTAACATTAAAGAGAAAAATAGTTGCTATAAGAAGAGACATTATCTGCAAGCACGTTCTTCAGTATATTATAATCGCAGTCAGGACCAGTACAATGCGGTCCCTATAGAATCTAAAGCTTTTAAGCAAAAAGAGATTTTCTGAGATATAAAAAAGTGTACATTGGAAGCTTAGAAGTGACATCCAGATTTTAAAATAAGATGCTATCACTCATCCAAACTTCAAAATAGAATGCCAACATTCAACACAGGTTTAGGAGGGTGTCAGACTGTATATTCAATTCATGTTATGCCTAAGACACCCATATTCAATATTCAAAGCATTTAATCCCACTTATTCTGCTTCATTACATAAGAAACAGATCATACTGAATCCTGACAGGAAACCAATCTCTATAAGCCTAAATACTGACATACTTTACTCTCAGATCAGAGGTAGGACAAAGAAGCTTCCTCTCATATAACTCAAGGTACCAAATAACGTGGTCCATCGCCAACGTTCAAATAACAGTTCCATCTTTTCTTGACCTATCTTTACAAAAGAAATGATATCACCATCACTCATGCTCCTTTTCCAGCTTTTTTTTTAATACTACCTTATTCAAAAAATACACGAAAATTTCCATAAACAAGTTGAATGTGATGTTGAAAAGAGAATGCTGGACGAAATACATGGGAGATCAGATTCAGGCTTTGAAGATTGAGAATAAATTTCTTTGGCGTTTTTCATTATCATAACGTAGACAAAGCAAGGATAAACAGGGAATGGCACATCGATATAACTTAAAAGATCCATTGTGTGTAAAATAGGTGATAATATATATTTACATTTACTAGCAAAACCCTGCAGAAAACTCAGTAATGCATTCTTACATACGGCTGCGGGCTGCTCATTATGAGTGAGTCAAGTATGTCATCCCAATGGGGGCAGCCAGGGATGCAAAATGCCCCAAGAAGCAATTGACCTGCAGTTTAAAGATCCATCTGATTGATCAAAAGACAACTGTGGCAAGAGGACCATTAATGATGTATCACGACAAAGGAGCACCAAAGCAAGATTACCATGTGAATAGATGGAGAGAAATGGGGCAATCAAATTTCTGACAGCATTTTACACCCTCTGTTGACTATAAGATGTGTTATGCAATTCTCAGTAGTTAAACTTAAGATGCCGAAATCTCCACATCCCTTAACAAATCCAGCTTTTCCTGCCTTCTCTTTGTCTTCTCAACATATTTCTTCTTCTGCGCCCACTTTGGTCCATATATTGCCAAATGTGTTCGACCAAACCGCCGGTCAGATATCTGCATTATTAAGTAACAAGAGAGAGAATTAGTTCCTCTGTGTATAATTGAACAATACATCCAGCTAGCTCTGTAAAACGTTTAAGTTTCTGTTAAGATGAAAACACCATCCAAGCACATTTACTAATGACAGAATGGAAAATCACAGCCTACGCATTAAGCAATCAGCTATATTTCTAATAATAACATCCAATAACGAAATGTCTTAGTACATCCACTCGAGCAGGGCAGGGGATAGTGCTGTCCTAATACTGACAAATTGGAACTGCTCTTTATCTCATAAAAAAGGGAGGGGAACAGCTCAATACCTTAACAAGACACCCGCATGAATCCAGCATGTCAGTTCTCAAGGGGTACTCCACCAACTGAATACACAAAAATAAGCTGACAACCAACAACAGAAAAACTTCTGGACAGAAAACGAACACATTTGATAATAAAGCACAATCACTGCAACACTTACTATAAATGTATTCTCTCCCACTACTGAAGATTTTGAAATTTGATTCATTAATATACTGTAATCAACGGCAGCATATGGTGGCGTAACACTAATATAATCAAAGCTCCCACCTTCACCTGGAAAATTAATTTTAAAAAAACATTAAAAAAAACACAAATCTTTGACTGTTATATTTCAGTGAAAGAGCAGCATAAAACTTGCATAGTTAGAGGTTTGTTTATGGAACACATTTTCCCTCAATATTGTAACTAACTGTTCAGTTATTGACCACTGCCAGACAAAATAACAAAGAAGATCATGCAAGTGAAGAGAAAGAGAAGAGAAACTGTACTGCTTGCAAATTTTGTGGAAGTACAGAATTGGTGAAGAAAGGATATAAAGGATTGACTTGCCACAATCAACTACAATATCAAGCGAACCTTCAGAAAGTGGGTTAAATTGGCCTGGGGCCAAGCATGTGATAAGGTAAGCACCAACCACATCTGTAACACCCCCCCCCCCCCCAATTCTCCAACATCCCAAACCTCTATTATTACTCTTCTCCGCCATGAAATTACCAACTGCAGGTAATCAATATTAGGTATCTGGTTAAGTTCCATTCAAAGACCTCCTTGTACAATGTTACTGCAAAATGATTGTTGCAGTATGCAGATCACAACTACCTTTACTGATTGTTTGACTAACAAGATCCAAAATTTACAATGCAGTCCTACATCTGGGAATTAGTATTTCCATGCCTTCTAAATCTATCTCATCAAGGGGATAAGGAACCCCCTTGATGGTAACAGTTAGAGGTAGCCTACTGGTAGTACGAAACAAAGGCTCACCTCCAACCTGCCCACCTGTTGACATACGCAATGATCTTGAAAAATGCATTAGTGCGAGGAAAAGAGATACCACAAGTGATATAATGTTATCAGTATAGCCTACACCTTTTACGAATTAACTTCAGTAAAAATGTTCAAGGTGTTCCCTTTTTTGATAGCAAAAATCAAGTAAAAAAGAAAAGCAAATAAATTTGTATCTTATACATTTTCAGGGTGAGTAAACGAATCTTCTTTTTGCATTTTCATAGCGAGTAATAACCTTCTACTTTGTACAACAAATGTACAAGGAAACATCAGATAAAAGATTCAATGAACCTCTTAAGAGAGAGAGAGAGAGAGAGAGAGAGAGAGAGAGAGAGAGAGAGAGAGAGATCCAATTGAGAGTTAAATCAGAATCACTCATTCATGATACTAGTAATTCCCTAACTTAGTTCGCTTGTGGGGCAACAGATTGACGGGAAGAGAAACTCTTACCAAGAAAATTTTCTGCCCGCTCCAAGAAGCTCTCAACACGGACAGTATGTATGACTGAGACATCAAGGAAACCAGTCCATTCTAAATTTGGCCGCAGAACATCTGAGACAACCCAAGGGTCCATCTCAACAAAATGTACCTAGAAATTTGCAAACAGAAATATACACAAATGCTATGAGCGCAAAATGCCATATAAAGACTAAATAACATATAAAGCTCCACAAATCAACTGCTAACTTTAAGTAAATATGGAGACAATAAAAGTTTCACTAGTAATAAGTAAATAAAATAGAGCATATGATCCTGAAAAGGATTGTTACTGTTTTAATGCTAACCTCAGAACATCCTCGACTGACGGCTTCTATACCAACTGATCCTGTCCCACTATAGAGGTCTAACCAACGGCCAGGCCTTAAAGACGTAGGGCAACCACCGGCTGCCTATACAGTGGAAAACAATTAATATTTAACAACATTAAAACGGTATATCTTGCGTTACTTCAAAGACGAACTGCAGTAAAGGGCTAACAAGAATCTCACTTGCAAAATGCCAAATGCAGCAGCTTTTACGACTTCCATCATGGGACGCACATCCATACTCTTTGGTGAGAGCAATTTCTTCCTTCGAGCTGTCCCTCCAACAACCTGAAAAATAAAACTCCTCCTCAGAGCAAAGACAGTAGGGAAAATGAATTACAACCAGTACGTGGTAGAATCCTAGATATGATTGAATTGTCAACAAATGCACGCATAGAACTCTGCAGAACTCAAAGAGTTTTTCCGCTAATGAACTTGCAATTTCTTAAACTCACTAGGTATGCCTAGAAGACTAGTTCCTAATGCAGCTTTTCATTACATGTATATCATTTCATAAAGCAATACACATCTCAACTATCTCACAAAATAGTCTTTTCAAATTATAAATTACACAAAGACCAGGAGAAAAAGGAATTCTCCATTAGCAGCCAAAGATGTAGCTAAAATGTAGTTGCAAAACAAACCTGAAGCAATTTATGTGTCTCACGTGGCGCCCTAGGTTCTTCTAGAAGGACCTGTTTTCCGCCTCCCGTCTTGGATTGTTCCCTTCTCTTTTTTGTCTATAACTCCAATGAAAACACTACTATTAATATCAACTAATTAACTAAAACTCAACTTCCATCTGATTAAGGTTAGCCATATGAAATATAAAAATTACAGTGTATTCAGGCACATTTCCTAATTTATTTAAAAGAAACAATTTGTTTTTCCAGAGAGGTTTAAATAACATACCTTTGGAGAAGGTTCAGATAAGAACTCATCCGGATTAAGACCGTATTGTTCAAGTAACTGTCTTTTCTTATCAACTGAGAGTTCTTTTTTGGATTCTGCAAAATACCCAAGTAAAGGAATATTAAATTAAGTAGTACTTTTAAGTTATATATCAAAAAAAAACTTTCAATTTGCAACGAAGATAGAGGAAGCGGAAATAACTTACTGTAAGAGAAGGTGATAATGAATGGGCGGCGACGATTGGTGGCTGTGAAAGGATAACCGACGAGAGAAGGATTGGAGCTAAGTAAACTGGTGTCGGGGAATGAACGAGAGCCGAGAGGTGAAAGAAATGAAAGAAGAGTATGTAATGATGCAACCGCCATTTCTTAAGCCCAAATGTGGTCGACTCTCACTTAGCTCGCTGCAGAATTGGTGAAGCGACTTTGAGCATTTATCATTTTCTTGAGAACTCTGATTGGATAGAGTGGAGAATGGGAATTATGTGACGAAATCTTGAGGAATAAAAGTCTTTTTATTTCTTCCTTTTTTTCTTCTTCTTTTATTTAATCATGAATCAGAACTGTATGGGGTCAAATTTGATCGTCAGCATCCCTACGCCAGAGGGTACGTCCAATGAGTGCATGCCGACTAACGTAGCGGGCACGACTCGAACATGGGGACGAAAGCGACATCGTTTAGGACTCAGTGTCTTTACTAGGGAGACGTCACCTGTCTTTGTAACTTTTTGATTCTTTCGAGGAAGGTCTCTTATTATATAAAGGAGACTTTCACATTGTAAAAGGGGGTCTCGGATCTAATACAACTCTCTGATTTTCTGTCTCTCTCTCTATCTCTACCTCAAACAAGCATATTTTGTTAAGTTCATATTATCACTTTGCAATACCAGATCTATAACAATAATATCATCTTTGCATCTCTAGGTTTATTATATTTGATTACGATTTACCCTTTTCTTATTTTCGATTGTTTTCTAGCTTACAAAGTATATTGCTAACTTTTGAGCTAAATAGTCTCAAAACTCAAGAGAATTTGAATCACTCAATTGAAAATTTTTTAACTAAGGCGGAATATATCGACAATCCCTTAATTCTCCAACATATTTAATTTAGACACTCGAACTATGGCATGTTCACCTGAATATAAAATATTCATAATAGGTGCTTGAGAGCACGCGCATACGCTTTTCCAACGTTTTAGCTGGAAGTATAATAGGAACACTTTATCATGTACCGTTTAGGTGTTCAACTGGAACATGCCTTAGTTCAAGTATCTAAATAAAATATACTTACGAGTTTAAGGGCAATGGATATATTCTGCCTATAATTAATGTGATATTTACTGAGCGTTTGGACATAAGAATTGTAAAATTTCAAAAAAAGGTGGAAAAAAAATTCAAGTGAAAATGGTATTTGAAATTTAGAGTTGTGTTTGTACATGAATAGAATTTTGGGTTGTTTTGAAGTTTTGTGAGTGATTTGAGTGAAAATTTTGAAAAACAGCTTTTTGTAGTTTTACAAATTTTTGAAAATTTCCAAAATGCATCTTCAAGTGAAAATTGAAAATTTTATGAACAAACGCTGATTTCGAAAAAGAAAAATTAAAAAAAGAAAAAATTTCTTATGTACAAACGGGCTCTTAGCTATTTGCACACAAATTTCCTGGCTTAAACTTTAAAGAGTGATTATCACGATGCAAGAACCAAAGAAACCCCTAAACGTGAAGAACAAGTTGGCTTTTGGAAGATTAATTACTAGTTTACATACAGTCCCTCAAACACTCTGCTATCGCTTTCAATCTTATATATTGTGTGGCTTTCCTAGCTATTGTGTAACAAACTTACTTTTATCTCTAGCTAGTAAAATGTGAAAAAATAGCTATTACTACTATAATTTTTTGATAGTGTTAGATATTTATTCTTAATTTTGAATCTTATTTTAGCTCAGATAGATTTGACTGGAGTAGAAACTAGTGTAGCATAATTTACTAAGAGAATCTACTCTTATCATTTTCTTATTTAACTCTTCTAAATAACCAAACTTATAAAATAAAAAAAATTAAAAAATAAACGGTACGTAACAGAAAAAGAAGAAAAGCAATTGGGCGTCAAAGTCAATATTAAAAAGTTCTATGCATGAAAGACTGCAAATGCAGGTGCCAAAGGCTGCAGAAGAGACCATTTGTTGGTGCTGCCACAGGATAAAAGCCAAACACTCCCATAAAATTCTTAATTTGTCTTTATTATGTTCTTGATTAGATAAACCGCTCTTGGGACTACATGCTCTTTGGTTTTTATACACGCATTCCTATATATTGTTATGTGTGAGTATAAGAGTATTTACCCTATTTTAATTATTTAGTGATAGTATAAGTTAGTTAAGAGGCGCCAAAGCGAAAATAATGAAGAAATTTCTCTAGCATAAAGGTGTTCATTTTTCATTTTAAAATATACAACATGATCATTACAAAGCCGTCTATTGTAACCCCACACGTCCATGACAGGAAAAGTACAAACACAGTAGACTTTATTATTACTGGTCTTTTATAATTAATTAACATCAAATGAGCTAAAAAATCTTGACTTATAAATCATGAGATTTTTTGTTCACCTACTTCATCACTCTGCAGTTGTTAATTTATTAATTTTATTGTTTATTTTAAAGAATTTAAGTGAAAAAAAGTTGTACATCAGTGACAGATTCATATATTATGGTCTTCCAAGTTTGGGAAAAATCTAAGCAGTACTGACGAGCCTTATGTATATAAGAATAATAAATATAAATAGTGTTAGATATGTTATAAATAGATTTTATTTATGGTGAATGTCTATATTTAGAGAGATTCTAGGGTTCATTGCTTGGTGGCTAAGTCACCCTCTCCCTATAAATAGAGGGTTCTATTCCATTGTAATTCATCCCAAAATCAATAAGAATTCTCTCTCCCTACTTTTCTCTGCAATACTCTTGTTCTTTATTTATTTTTTTATAACACGTTATCAGCACGAGACTCTAACCAATTGAGTAGAAGCTTTGGGATTGATCATAATGATTGTCAATTGTTCTATGAATTTCCTTCATGCTTAAATTTTGGATTTAAGTTAAGTATTTTGCCGTATTTTTCTCTTTTATTCTATAATTTGATTTTAAATACAAGCAAAGACAATAAATTTTGATTACAACTCTAATGGAGTGTGTACGAAATATAACCACCCGAAGTGGTAAAATTTCTATGTCTTGCCATGATCAAATTCATGTATGATTATGAGCACAAGAAGTGAAAACCTGTCCCATTGAATTTGCTCCATTCTCATTCCTTTAAGAGAATGTGATAGCAATATGTGATAAGTCTGAAAGAAGACAAAATTATTACCGTGAAGGTATCAATGGATGTGGACGTGGCAATAGACGAAATTATAATCATCATCATTGTGATAATGAGAATAATAAGGATTCTCAAAATAATCTTTCACTATGTGAAAGTAATATTTGTCATCGATTTGACATGAGATTTTATAAAGCACATATAGATGATTATGGTCCATTCATGATGTGAATGTGACAACATCTTATTTATGAATACATATTCATTCTTGGAAGAATATGAACATGCTAGTGGTAGTGAATATACCACACTCACCTCTAGAAGGAGGTTTGAGATGATATAAGAAAATAATGTCATTATTATGGCATGAATGGTCATTGGTCACGTACTTATTGTATGCCAAAATATTTTGGCATTTTGATTATTAAAAGACAACAGTAATGCAAGAAACAGATCTTGCATATAATTTTGACCATAACCATAATGGTATAACTTTCTCTATAAAAGAGATATTCACCATATGGATGTTGATGAATATGTGGTACTACCAAATTAATTGAGAGCTCTGGAAGAGCCAATTATTACTATTTTGGAGAAACACAATTGATTACCAATAAGGTATTGTGTTGTAGTAAGTCTCAAAGAATCTTATTCAGTTTCCAAAGTATACGCGAAAGCGATTGATTATATTGAGACTATAAATAAAGGAAATATTTAATATCTTCTATTACTACAACTTGTAGCTGGGTAATATGTATGTGAAAAGCTACCCGCTTTATTCTCCAGTTTGTACTACACAAATAAAAGAATACCACCATAAAGTGGATGTTTATTGATATAAAAATCCATATCATAATAAACCTGGAGTTTATTGATAATTGCACACGTCGTGGTATAAATCTGAAGTTTATCAATGTTGATAATTTATTCAGTTAGCATAATCGGTTTACCCATATCAATTTAAGTATGATGTGCAAAAATAAAAGAGAATTCACATGGGTAAATATTAAAGAACTAGAAAGTTCTTTACGAATTCTCTTATGTTGCCTGTTCTCACTAATTAATATACCAACTAAATTTGGGTTTGAATCCCATGAATGCTGGAAATATCAAAGGTGAATATGGTCCCATTCACCTGCCATGTATACCACATAAGATGCATCTATGAGATGGTTACATGTGCGATTATTATTAACCCGCAACATGGTGTTTGCGAGGTAACTTGCTCAATAATTTAATTTAGAGCATATTCCAGATTTTCTATTCAAGAAGTTCATCTTGATAAGTTGGTCTACATCACAGCTGGTTTAGCAAAATGATTTATAGAGTGCCTCCACTTAATAGCTAAACAATTGCTTATGAGAACAAAGTTTTATATATCAGTTTGATATACGTTATATACGAAAGTATATTAATTTCTCTCCTCACAAGTGGTTCATGGTTAGGAACCAAATAATTCCATCTTATTATTATTGATGTGCGGTGTATATTTTGATTAACACCATAACGAACAAAGATGGGTTCTCAAAGTTGAGAAAACAAGTTAGCCTTTATAACATGAGGGGGAGACATGATAAACAGTTGAGAAAAGGTTACGTGGAATGAATTATCACTTGTACATCTAGATCCTCGAATAAGATAATATGAACTTGAAGTTCATAAAAGGATAATTCAGTTGCATTATATTGCAAAGCATGCCAGACGCATTTGCTGACCCAAAGAAAGTAACTATATTCTCATTGCAAATGCTCCTATTAAGTCCTAGAAGGACAAAGTCTATGGTACGCTTGACGCGTATAGACAAGTCGGTTTCAAATAAACTTCTTGATAAAGAAGATGAGCAAATGATCTAAATGATCATAATAAAGGAGGCAAGTGATCTAGAAGATCACATGACATAACACTTCATAAAATCTCATGAGAGATTCAGGTACCTGAATATATGAATGAAGAGATCTCTATGTTATGTCTTTATGAAAAATAAGGAGGTTGGAACCGATATAAAATGTTTGTCGACGACATCTATAATAGCGCTAAATATATATATGAGGATCTTAAGTCTAGAGAAACAATTCAAATAGAATTGGTTTCATATGAAAGACATGTAGTTTTGAACATGTAGTTCAAACACTTGAAAGTATAAAGTCAATGGTATGTGCAATCAGTTTTTGATATCTTATATGTCTAGCATGACATGAAAACTTGATATGCATCTAAAGTCTATTATATGGCTTATATGACTTAAAAATCCTTGAAGGATTTAAATTGCTTAAAGCATATAGAATTCATGGGCATGAAGTACTACATCCTCAGTGCAATTTGTGCACAAATGTATCTTGCTATAACTATATGCATGATAATATGATAGCAAGAGTTTTCACCTCTACGTGAAGATATTGAACTGACGATTCCAACAAGATCATATGAAGACAATTCATCTCTATCAAGAATGATGATTTCAAGGTGCAATATATTCATTCAAGTTAATATGGCTGACTTATTCATCAAATCTCTACCAAAGATCTTTTGAAGATGGTGCACAAGATTGGAATGCAAATGCTTAAGGATGTGAATTGATGCTCTCATCAGGGGGAGTTAATACGCGTTGTACTCTTTTTTCCTTACAAGGTTTTGTCCCACTGGGTTTTCCTTGCAAGGTTTTTAACGAGGCAACCAAAAGGCGTATTATTAGATATGTGTACTCTTTTTCCCTCTCTAGAATTTTTTTCCCTCTGGGTTTTATTTTAGTTAAGGTTTTAACGAGGCACATATATTATCTGTTGAATAGACATTCAAGGGGGAGTGTTATAAATAGATTTTATTTATGGTGATTGTCTATATTTAGAGAGATTCTAGGGTTCATTGCTTGGTGGCTAAGTCACCCTCTCCCTATAAATACAGGGTTCTATTCCATTGTAATTCATCCCAAAATCAATAAGAATTCTCTCTCCCTACTTTTCTCTGCAATACTCTTGTTCTTTATTTATTGTTTTATAACAAGATATACATTAAATAAACAGTTTTCGAAATACATTTTAGAAGACATTCTCTCAACTTACAACTTATAGAATCTATACTCTAGATCCACCATTATTTGGTGTAGAATTTTCTTTAAAAACAATAAAATCTCCCATTTCTTCTGAAGAGATTAAGGCCCCGTTTGTTAATGAGTTTTGCCAAAATAAATTTGGAATTTATTTTCAAAACTCATGTTTGGCCATAAATTTTGCCCATATTTTGGCCAAATCCCAAATCTCAAATCCCAAAATCAGCTATTGATCTGATTTTGGGCCAAATCCCAAAACTTGGGAATTATATACATGTTTTTCCAAAATAAAGTTGAAAAATATGTTTTGAAAACGTATGTCCAAACACATTTTCATCTTCAAACCAAACTTCACCCAAATCAGATTTTTCAAAATAAATTTGGGATCTATGGCCAAACGCTAGCTTAGTGTCCGTTTGGACATAAAATTTGATGGAATACTTTTTCAAAATTTTCACTTTTTTTCGAAATCAGCGTTTGTTCATAAAATTTCCAATTTTCGCTTGAAGACGCATTTTGGAAATTTTCGAAAATTTGAAAAACTACAAAAAATTATTTTTCAAAACTTTCACTCAAATCACTCACAAAATTTCAAAAACAACCCAAACTGAAATTTATGTCCAAACACACTCTAAGGACCCGTTTGGCCATGAGTTTTGCCAAAATAAATTTGGGATTTGTTTTCAAAACTCATGTTTGGCCATAAATTTGGCTCACATTTTGGCAAGATCCCAAATCCAAACCCCAAATCCCAAAATCACCCCAATTGGGCCAAAATCCCAAAATTTGAGAATTATATTGTTTTTCCAAAATAAAGTTGGGAAATATGTTTTGAAAACGTATGTCCAAACACATTTTCGTCTTCAAACCAAACTTCACCCAAATCAGATTTTTCAAAATAAATTTGGAATCTATAGCCAAACGCTAGTTAAATTTTAAATACCGTTTCACTTGAAAAAAAAAAATTCACAACTTTTTTGAATTTTACAATTCTTATGTCCAAACGCCTACTAAATTAAACAACATATCTATTCTCTTTTAAATACTTGTTAGGAGTCCATTTTTTGGGTACAAAAATACTACTTTTATGGCACATGAATAGTTCCCATTACTAGTTCGTAATTTATAACTATCGATAAATTTAATAAATGTCATTATTCAAAACAAAAAAGGAAACAAAATAAGCAAACAAAAGGGAACATATAAAAATACCACAAAATTCTTAAATAACTTAGGATAGTTGCATGGCCTCACGCCTACTTTTGACACGATCGACGAAGACTAGACATTAAATTACTTTACACGATTAACGAAGACAAAAACCATAGATTAATTGAACCAAATCATACTTATGCACCAAGAATTTCCACTAAAAACTTTCCTTACATGTTAAACATGTCCGTCAAAAAATCTAATCACTTACCCAAAAAACAATATTTACTTTCTACTCTCACTTCCATTATTTCTTCATGGCCATCAACAACAATGATCTTCCAAGAAATCATTTACATCCCACGTACATGACTCCAAATCTTCATCCAAAATTCCATTTCCATCTAAAAAATCCACATTTGGAAAATCGATATCATCGCAAAATACTGGCAAAACATCATCCATTAATGGAGAAGGAGACCTGAAATCGAAAAAATCCTTAAGAAAACACTGATCCATTAATGGCAAATTATCATCTAACAAAATCCCATTTTGATCATTTCGCATAGCAAATTCCATTCTTTTCCGATCATCCTTCATCTCTTCATTGGTAGCTATTTTAGTAGCAGTAACACCAACATTATTGTCATTGTGCCTCAAAACAGAGGTAGGAGAACAAAGATTTTCAGACTCCCCTGTAGAATCATAATCCGACACTGAAGTGATCACACTTTCTTTCTTCACTGGCGGCTTCATAAAATTAGTCAAAGCATCAGGACCGCGTATTTGAATAGCAGCTTGATCATAAACCATAGCAGCTTCTTCAGCAGTTTCAAAAGTGCCTAACCAAATTCGAGTCTTTTTCACGGGATCTCGAATCTCTGCTGCCCATTTTCCCCATGGCCTCTGCCTAACCCCACGAAATTTCTTAACATTTTCGTTTGTCTTCACATCCATCATCTTTTTCTTCTTTTCACTCAAATTTGATGGTTTTTTCACATCTCCATGCGACACTTTCTTTTCAAGCCTTATCTCCGTAACATATTTTTTGACTCTTTTTCTCTCTTTATCATCAAAATCATCATCACTTGAAGAATCAGTAGCATCACAATCAGTATAACAAATCCGAACAACTTTTGGAGTCAACTTATTCTCATGCTTAGTATTGATAGACTTGTGGACTACACACTTCTTGATACTTTGTGAAAATTTTCCTTCCATTTTTTTAACATGGAGAGTGAGAAAGAAAAGAGTGATTTATATGATAAAAATTAAGGGGGTGGATGAAAAAATGGAAAGAGAGAGAGACAGAGGAAGTTGGAGAAGAGAGAAATTAAAGGAAGAACAAGTCTTGAAGGAGGAGAAAGTGTAACAGTAACTGATGATGAAATGAATTAAAGAGGGAGAGGTTTAACGACTAGTCAATGAAACCAAAGTGTGTGTGTGTGAGAGAGAGAGAGAGATAGAGAGGGAAATGGAACAGAATCAAGAGATATATAGGAGGAAGAAAAGGAGGAGGATACCATTTTTTGAGTCCTTTAGTCAAATAATAACTATACTATTATGCCGATATTTTCTCTCCCTTTTGGAATTTTCTTGCTTTGTTATTTTTATTAATTAGTTTCACTAAATTTATCATTAACTAATAAGTAACGTAATTTTCTTGAGATTTTCGGATGGTCCTTTTCAGAAAAAGATTAAAATATGAATGCTTTAATTAACTTGAGATAAGGATGTTTTTTGGAGTTGATTTTCTTGTAAACTAATTTGGAATTATCCAACCAAAATAAAGTCACATGTTAATGATAGTAAGAAAGAAATTAATTGCAGTATTTGAAATGGAAAAAATATGAGTTGTTAAGACAAGTTACTCCCTCTAGTCCATAATAAGTAATTTTTTTGTCTTTGGCACATCCCTTAGAGCTTGTTTGGAAAGCCATCATGGAAATGGATTTGGGTGTAATTGGATGTAATTACACAGTTTGACATGTTTGTTTGGCCAAGTAATTACTTGGTCAGCATGGAATTTGGTGTAATTAAAGGGGTGTAGTTACACTATCCAATTCTCAAGAGGAGGTGAGAATTGATGGTAATTACACTGTGTAATTACAAAGTTACTTTTTAGTTTCTTTCCTTTTTGTTTTTATTTTAATTTATTTTCTTTATAAATTTTTATTTCTATTATTTTAATTTTTAATTTTATTTTTACTTTTAAATTTCTTTTGAAATTTTAAATATATATATTTTTTACATTATTTATCTTTTATTTCTCTATCTTTACTACTTGTAATTCCACGTAATTGCTTATATTTTATTTTTTATTTATTTTATTATTTTATATTTTGAAACTACACCTCCTAATATTAAAAATAATGAGTCATTAACAAACTTGACATATAATGAGTGATGCAATTAAAGTGGAATTTCTTTGTTGAATGTGGTTATAAACTTATCATGTTTTAATCTTAAGTTGCAGTGGAACTTACTATTATTATGATGGAATTTGACATATGTTAAACTATTTTTTTTAATATTAAAATTGTGTTATATTCATGGTTCCAATTTACTTGTTTTAGTAGTATTGGCTCACATTGCATGTTGTTTATTTTTTAGTTAGAATTGATAGATTAGTTTTGTCAAATATTTGAACAATAATATGATTTTATATTTATAAATATTAATTTATTTTATCAAACATGAATTCCATGATGTTCTTACAAAACGTATATTTTTAATTTTTGTAAATATCTAAACTAAATATTATTAATTTAAAAAGATATATAAATTATTTTTACAATATTAGTTATAAATATATGATTACTAAATTAATGTATATTCACGAAAAAATACATCTTTAAATACCAAATATAATATCATTTATACTTACCAAAATTTACAGGCATATATTTATTATGTTAACTTTTAAGTTTTGATAATTACTTAATTCAAAATTTAATCTAACTGTGCAATTACACTTGTGCAACCAAACCGTAAACTTCTAATTACACTATGACAAACAAACAGATCGTCGTAGTTACACAATTGTGTAATTATTAGGTTGTGTAATTACACCAATTCCAATTATAGGGTGACTTTCCAAACAAACTCTTAAGAAAATACTAATTCCTAGAAAGAAATAAGTATTTTGACTGAATTACCCTTCAGTAACATTTGCATATTTGTTAACTTGACACATTGGAATATGTAAATAAGGATAAATTTAAAAAACTAAAGGTAATTCACTCTTTATCATGTAAAAATGACATTTATTTTGTACCAAAATAAGAAGGCCAAAAAATTATATATTATGGACCGGAGGGAGTAAGGAAGAATATGAAGTATCATTATATTCGAATTTAGATAAATATTCAATAATATTTTTTTCCTTTTTTACAAATGAAAGGCGGTTAAAACGAATCGCCGCATGGGAGTGTGGGCCTTTGCTAAATGACCTATCGAGTATCGCCTACCGCTCCTTGCCCAGCAAGTCTCTTTTGCTCTTTTGACTGTCCCTACTGTGATATCATTAAAAATAATTTTTTATTTAAGAAAAATAATACTTTTCAGGGTTTTTTTTGTACCAAAATAATCTTCCACTGCATCAATAATGAAGTACACCTTGCTATTACAAAATACAAATATTACACCAAACATTATTAATTATAAAAAGTTTAATTCACCATAGTTTGAACCTTATTACCTGGTGTAGGATTTATGCTGATGTTTGAGGGTTCTCATCCTCCAATTTTGCTTCTTTTTTTTTGTGCCGTAAGTATCTCAATTGGTAAATAAAATATTTTACTTACCTAAAAATATTTAACTTATACTTGTTTGAATCAAAAGTAAGTTAATACTTTTTAAGCAAATCAATCAGTATAGATGAAGGAGTAAATCGTAGTGGAAGATAGTAAACTCTAGGATGATCTTGAATATTGGATCATATAACAACCAGATGAACAAAATTCAGAGAAAATGATAAACTTCTATTAGATAAGAGAGACAATGTTAGAGAGAGAGAGAGAGAGAGAGAAAGAGAACTTGTATTTCTTATAATCTCCGAGTGTTCCCCCCTTTACCAAGCTTAAATCCCCTTTATATAATAGAGGATCCTTACTTAAATACAAAAAGGCAAAGAATAAAGTACATATTGTAGAGCGGCTGGCGTTGTCATGGAGTCGTCCCTCTTGTTGCTCATAGGTCGCTCTGCTAACCGGGCTCACGCACACTCGGTCGGTCGTGCTATCTTAAAGAACGTGGTTGGTCAAATTCGACCCTATACAGTTAGTCCCTTCGCTCGTCGGGGTCGCAGCGAATGCGTCCTCGATGGGCGGAATCGATTCCTGCTTTTTCGGGAGAGTTTGACTTTGTCAATGACTTGTGACGTGACAAGCGGGGGACAGTAATCATGATTGTCAGATCGTTGAAGCGAAACGCCTTTCCTCGTGTGACATCAGCATTCATATGCGTAATCATTGTGCGTGTTCTCGAGGCAAGGGGATCAGAAGCTTTTGGCGCCTGGTTTCTCGTGCCGATTCGACGTCCGCTTCTTCGAATCTGGCGCCAGCCAGCCCTATAAATAGGGGAAGGGTTCAACTTGATTCGAACTTTGGTCATTTGCAAGAGAATTTCAGACCTCCAGTACATATTTTCTCATTCCGGTGTGTTTCCCCTTGATCGAAACCCTCTTTTCTCTTTATTCTTTTGTTGGGTTGCGCTTAACTCTTCCCTTCTTTGAAAACCATGCATCAACCCTGCCAATCTGACGAGAGGCTCCCGGCGGCTGCTCCTGCGAATGTGCTGCCATCTTCTGATGGTGGAGAAGTGGGGGAGGAAGACGTCAGTCCTCTCACCGTGGAGGCATTGTTGCCAAAACATATATCATCCCGGAGTGATTTTAGCAAAGATTCCCCCGTTCCAACTCCAGAGTTTTTGGAGTCGTTACAGAACCACTTGGATGACCTCCGCACGAAGTACGGCATACCTGCCTACGTAGAGATGGTTCCGGCGGGAAGGGATCATGTGGACGTTCATCGGCCAGGATATTGTGCTTTTATGAATATTCCTTCTCGATCGGTTATAACCTCCCTCTTTTTCCATTGGCGGAGGAGTTTTGTCGGTTCTACAATGTGTGTCCGGCTCAACTTACGCCGTACACTCTGAAGGTGCTTCGGCTGCTGACCAAGTACGCGGAGTTGGCCGGATGCGAAGTCACGGTTCATCATCTCCTTCATTTATTCAATGCCTGCTATCCGAGGGGATCCATGGTGCACCTGAGAGGCCGTGGTACGAAAGGGTTAGTGGTCAAAACCGACGACGAGCGAGTCGTGGGTTTTGGCGCAAATATTATTTTATTAGGACCGAGCACATGGTCTCCAATCCCGCAGGGTTCCCAGAGAGGTGGAACTCGAGACGTAAGTATTTATAGTTTGTCAGCTTATGTGTTACTTGTGACTGTTACCATCCTGACCGTTATATTGCAGTATGGCTCACCCGCCCCGGCTTGTTGCCAACCTCAGGGGATGGGTTAAGGGCTTGCTTCCTTACGCGGAAGAGACATGCACTTGGCCTGCCTTGCTGCAGCGTTACGGCCCCAAAGTCTCGTCAGGGAGATTGTCGATTTTTGTTTTGTGAATTCTGCAACTTTGCTTACTCATTTTTATGGCGACAGGTCGAGGTGCTTCTAGGAAGAGGGCGCCTATTCCCACTCTACATCGATTTGACGTTGCCTCGTCCGTTCACGATATACTAGTTGAGCCTGTCCGAGAGGATCCTTCTCCAGCTCCTTTACAGGGGGCCACGTCTACGGCTATGGTTAGGTGGGAGTCGGCATCGCTGGTACCGACTGTGCAACCCGTGGACGGACCCTCTGACGAAGGAGAGCCGTCAGACAGAAAACGGAGAAGGCTTGAGAAGGGTAAGGGAGTGGCCACCGAGGCCGAGGGAAGTAACATGCCCCAGCCAACGTGCAGACCATTCATGGCCGACGCTATTCGATCTGGGAGGTTGGCTCGTCAGAGGGATGCTGCTCCCGGAGCTAGTTTTGCACCTGCCGTCGAGGGGGGATCGTCGACCAACGCCGAGGGACCAGGCGGGGAAACAGGTCGGACTCCGACGTCTCTTAGGAGGATATCGACGAGTTTTTGGGTGGCCTTACCCACGTGGAGATAACGTCGGATGGGTCCGAACGCCGCATTACTATTCCGGCGGCTTATAACTTGCTGTTAAACAGCGAACGGGCTGCTTCGGCCCTTACCCTGCTGTGTGCCGCCCCTGAGAGCAAGGCGCTCAGTACCGTGGAGGATGCAGAGCTATCACGGAAGATTTCTGGCATGGCTTTGCAGGTAATTCTTTATTCCCTTTTGTACTTCTGTGTGTTGTAAGATTGATTCGAGGTGTGCTTACTTCTGCTTCTCTTTACTCTTGTTTTGGAGGTGGAGAGGGG